TATGGCCATGCAGCAAATTATCAACCCAAGGCCTCTGTTATATTGCTTTTCATTACATGTTGGCCTCTGTGATGTGCTGCTTTGAAACACTTTGCAGAGGGCACCTAGAGACTGAGCAGAATGTCCTTTTCTTCCCAAGCCATTTTTAAAAAATCTCGCATGTGCCAACTATAACATACTCTTGGCCTGAAACCCTATGGTTTACATGTACATATCCCACATGTTTGGTTTTCTCTTTATTTCATTATCCTCTGCGCGTTTTGAAGTGGGCTGCAAATGATGTAGTTCAAGCACTGCAAAAAACAAATAGAGCTTAATGGTCAAATGGTATTTTGCCCTGTTTTGTAAATGTGCTGTGGGCCTCAGTTTGCTGGATTCAGTTCACTTCCAAGTCCAGTCAGATCAGGAAGAATGCCTTCTCATAATCTAAATATTGAGTTAGAAGTGACATAAGACTGTCGTTTGCACATCACTATGTGTTATTGCAGTTTATATAAGCTAAAAGTGATTTGACTTCAACTCTGAAACCAAACTTAGAGGGCAGACCTGACAGTATTCAGTGTTATGGTCCTTCTAAGTGATCATTGTGATGTTGTGTTGTGAACCCATTGCTTGGGAAGTGGAATATAATGCTGCTATTTTGCACAGCTGCGAACAAACCTTTGATGTTTTGCACACTGGTATAATATAATGGTCATGTCCCAGTGTTTTCTACAGGCACTGGAGTCTTTGTGATGATGTTTGCAGTTACTGATGCCAGGCCTCGCTCTAGGATGATCTTTTGTACAGTTCATTTTCCCTATATGTCTACTATGAAAATTGCTATTTAGATTTAAGTGTTGTCTGGGGTGTTGCACCACAGTTGCATTCACTTTATCCACATGTTAATAAAAAATCAATACAGTAATTGTTTATGGTGACCATGATGAAATAAATCCAAGTTTCTGTAGGATACCTGGTCTCGTTCACATTGTTTTGATCATTTAACACTTTGTGTATTTGCTTCTGTTATGGCTTAATGTCTGAGCACACATACTTTGTAGAGACCCTGCAGTTGCTTAGCCTCTTATCCACTCACACCACCCACTAATCCTTGATTTGAAGGAAGCCCTTGAGACATGGTTATGTAATAGAAAAAAGTCCATGACCAGTATACTTACTGGGATATGTTGGGGATGTTACCATAGGTTGCCATGAGACTGAAATTCATAAACTCATGAGGTTTCATTGGTTGCATTAACACTAAAACTCATTAAATGGGGTTATTTTTACACAAAAACTAATATACAACCAAGCATGCTGACACATATAAAGAATAATTTTGGCATCCTATCTGTGGCCTGGGTATTCCAATTGGGGCCATACACTGAAATGGGAACACAAGGCAGTTCATTGTAAAACCTTCACAATCTGAGGAGGAGTCTTCATGCACTCATCAAGTCTCATATTCTATATTTGTAATTATTATTTACAGAGATAGAAGACCTAACACTGACGTTTTGTCACTTTAGAGCATGACTACATTCATGGTTTACTGTGTGACAGAATGGAGCTGGTTTAATAAGGGTTTCCTTCTGGTTTTATGAATAAAACACGTGGGCTGGACAGTTCCTTCATGTGATTGGTTAGAATCTGCTGCAGTCTCAAAACTGTCTGTCTCTCTCTCTCTCTCTCTCTCTCTCTCTCTCTCTCTCTCTCTCTCTCTCTCTAGATAGCCACATAGAGTGGAATAGGTCAGCAGAGGAAAGAAAGTGGAACAGGGATAGAGAGAAATAGAAATAAACCAAAGCGAGGCAAATGAAAAGAGTATATGAGAGAAGAGAAACAGGCAGGTTTCCTTTTTTTTTTGTTGCCATCAAATACCATTCCAGTGATGATAAAGAATGCAATCAAACCTTCATTTCATGTCAGCTACATAAAACGGATGTTTTAAAGGTGAAACTTCAACCACCTTAAGCATTAACACTGTCCTTAACTAAGCACACAGACTAGCTTCTGTAAAACTTGACACATTGTCATTTGATTGAACATTGTGTGTGGTGGCACAAAGCAGCACATCATCCTCCCATTATCTATGCTGCTTATGCTGAAGAGCGCTAACCACAGTATATCATATAAAGTTATAAAGATATTTACACTCTTTATCTGCTTGCCCAGCTGTAGCCACTGCCATATTATATATGGCTATAATATTACATATTGCAAATCAGTGAAGTCAAAGAGAATCAGTGGGAAAACAAGCCAGTTTTCTTGTTATAGCTTTGTTTTGTTTTGTTTTGTTTCCTGAGTCTTTACACATTGATTTAATGGCAGAATCCTGGAGCAGCATTATGTAACAGCTTCCCAGTGCAGAGCTGTCAGCCTTCTCTTCGTTATTAAGATTCAGTCCAGGTCTCTTGTCTACCAGTCTGCTTTCTGCATTCTTCGCCACCGTGTCTCTATAGTAACGGGTAGGTAAGTGAATGAGAGCTGGACAAAGTGAGCTGTGTGGGGCTGAGCGTGGGCTGAACCACTGCACAACACATTTACAGGCATACAGTGTATACACAGACACAGACACACACACATACACACAGATAGTGCTTGTGAACATCTGTTGGTGCAGGCATGTGTCCACATCCAGCCATTCAGTTCTGAGTTGCCTCTGGTTTGATCTTGCTGTGTTTACTACTCTGCTGGATGTTCCTTCTCTTTCTTATCAGCAGTAATAAAACAGGACACTGACCGTATACTGTACCACCTTACCATCATGTTCAGGGATTTTAAATCATGGATAACATTACCAGTGGTTCAAAAAACAGCAAATGATGTTGATCTGCACATGAACAATAACCGGAGTACACCAAATAATGATAAATAAGTTTTAAAAGCTGTTTAGTATATAATACAATCCATCCCTCATTCATTACCAACTACTCCAGGTTGTGGAGGCGGTAGGTTCAACAGGGCAGTCCAGACATCCCTTTCCCAAGCAGCATTCACCAGCTCCTCCTGGGGGACTGTGGGGCATTACCAGGTCAAAGGAGATGTATATAATCCCTGCAGTGTTCTAGGTCTACCCCTGGACCTCATACAAGTTGGAAGTGCCCATCAAGCTTCCACTGCAAGGCACTGGCATATCTGAAGCAACTGAGAGAACGCCCCATTGGGATTATGTTTACTCTGATACAACACCCTACCTGCTAATGTCTTTAACTAGATGATGTAAGTATCAAGTTTTGCAGTGTGAGGCAGTTGTGTTAGATTAGGTCGGATTTAACAGGGGAAAATTCTGCTAATGATTCTTTATTGTCTTGTTACATAACTATATGCTGTCATGTTGAAATGACAGGTTTTATATTTAAAATCAGTTATACAATATGTAAAAAGGAGCACACCAGAACCTACGGTGTCCATTGTTATTTTCTCTTTTTTTTATTTCCCGGTGAATCATTTTACACTGCATCAATTTGCATGATGATTCATCCAGTCAGTTTTATGTAACAGGGAAAATCCGAACCCTGGATTAGAAACTATAGGAGCGCTCTAATAACAGACCCGCTGTTTCAATTGACAAATTATCATTTCATTATTGGTTTCCTGCTGTCAAGCTGTAATTTTTGCCACATTTGAGATGTATTCCATTTTTACATCATATTGCACCAAACTTTCTGCCGTAGCGTGTAGTCATAGTAGGAAGCTTTGGTGATTCTTGACCATTGCTTGTTATAAATTGACTGTCACTTTCTTATTTTCATCAGGATAAAAAAAAACACACTTTCTGTGGAAGCAGTTTTCTTTACATTTTTATTTTGATCATCAGTTCAGTTTTAAACGGTGCCTAAAATAACACCAGTCTCCACTGAGGTTTTGTTTTATATTAGTGGTTTATTGAGTATATTTTACACATTTGTTATACATCCGAAGCATGAAGGATGAATAAACACAGATGAGAAAATTGTTTTAACCATGATTTCAGTATGTTCCAGGGTTGTTTCTGTGAATCTAGGTCTAGGTCCAGACATGTGGGTATCGCTGATAAAAGGGTAAAATTCAATGATCTAAATTGTTTATCCCTGTTCTCTTTTACCTCTCTTGTCTCCCTGTTCCTTACCTCTTTGAGTCTCTCTCCTTTCCCTGTGTCCTTTTCTGTCTGCCTCTTATTTGCAAGTCTATTTCAGCACCATGTAGGTGTACTGTTCTAATTTCACTGAGCCTTCATTACCACTCTCTCCAGCTGGAAGAATGACTCAGTGACTGCAGCGCTTCACACAAAGTCACATAAAGCTCACTGACTGTCTTACCCTGTGTCCTAATAATAAGACTTTGTACAATACTGGAACTGAGAGTCCTTTAAAAAATAAACTATATGTGACTCACAGGTGATACAGTGGTACAGTGGTTAGCGCTGTTGCCTCACAGCAAGACGGTTCTGGGTTCGTACTCTGGCCAACCCGATGCCTTTCTGTGTGGCGTTTGCATGCTTCCCCCTGTGCCTATGTGGGTTTTCTTCAGATGCTCCGGTTCCCCCCCACAGTCCAAAAGACATGTTGACTGGTGAGTATAAATTAGACTTCAACTGGAAAGGCTCCTAACGGGAGCAGGCAAAAGATGACAATGTGACTCATGGATGCCTGTCAGAATATAATGCAAATTAACTTTTTAATTTGAGATTTTTTTTCCTCAAAATGTTGTAACCATGAACATACAGCTAATAAAGCTCCCCTTTATTTTCCATGCATTCTTATTCCACATTATCTGACAGTAACATATCATATTCTTTTTTTGGCCACGGTACAAATTCACCCAAGTGAATGCGATATCCCTCGAACTCCAGCTCTCATGCTGATGCCCTTTGAGGTTTGAAGCTCCAAAAACAAACAAATATGTTTAAACCCCTGAGGAAATGTTTGAAAATGTCAAAATAGCAAATGACACACTCCAATCACTTACTGGTTTCAGTCACAAACACCATTAATTTTTCTTTTGTTTTACTTACACGGAAGTTTCCTCTCTAACAGAAGTGCTGCTGAGTAACTAACAGCAGGTACTAAAATATTCTCCTCTTCTTTCCTCCTCCTCCTCCTCCTCCACTGTCTCATGTCTTCTCACTCCTCAGTCTTCTACATTTGCACTGTTAATCCTGTGCCTTGCAGGGAAAACACCCACCTAGTTTGTTATGCAAGAAGAAGAGAGAGGATGAGTGCACAACAATAGGTGCGGTAGCTTAGTGGCAGAGCACCTGGCTGAGAAGACTGTGACGAGTCACTATGGAGTTATAAGAAGAACTTAGCCTAGAGGGTGTGAACAACACATTAGCAATACACACCTCTATCTCTGTATATCTCTCTTTCTCTCTATTTCCCTCACTCTCATGCTCTGTGTGTGTTTGTGTGTTCTTGTACTT